GAAAGTATGATCACGATGGTGAGATGCCCCACCGTGACTCTAAATTAAATATCTCCAGACCTAGGATGAGTCTGGAGCATAGATCATGAATCGTTGAATGAGTCCCTCTCTCTACACACTCTCAAGCATTTAACTCTCTCCTTGGGTTTCTCGTACCGTTACTTCTAGCTAAGTTTTGGGTTCTCTCTTCAACAGAGCACACTCCTTTCTCCAGGTTTAGGTTTAGCCAGGGAAATCCGGGTTCGACAGTATTATCATGATCCTACATTTTACCCAGTTCTAAGCTGTAGGTTTGCAACATGCACATGTTTATAATTTACCTTGTGCTTGGTATGTACATGTTAATCTTATGCCCGGCTTTATACATGTTAATCTTTTGCTCGGCTTTATACATGTTAATCCTATTCCAGGCTTTATACATGTTAATCTTTATGCCCGGCTTTATACACGTTAATCTTATGCCTGGCTTTATACATGTTAATCCTATTCCCAGCTTTATACATGTTGGTCTTATACCCGGCTTTATACATGTTAATCTTATGCCCGGCTTTATACATGTTAATCTTATGCCAGGCTTTATACATGTTAATCTTTATGCCCGGCTTTATACACGTTAATCTTATGCCTGGCTTTATACATGTTAATCCTATGCCCGGCTTTATACATGTTGGTGTTGTATCCGGCTTTATACATGTTAATCTTATGCCAGGCTTTATACATGTTAATCTTTATGCCCGGCTTTATACATGTTAATCTTATGCCCGGCTTTATACATGTTAATCTTATGCCCGGCTTTATACATGTTAATCTTATGCTCGGCTTTATACATGTTAATCTTATGCTCGGTTTTATACATGTTAATCTTATGCCCGGTTTCTAGAGATTAATCTTATGAATAGGTTTAAACATGGCAATTCTATGCCGAGCTTTATACATGTTAATCCTATTCCTTCCAGTATACATTTTAATCCAAGTCCGGCTTTGCACAGAATAATGCCCAGGTGTCCGTCCATAGTTGTATTCTACGCTTAATTAAGGTTCTTTGAACAATCCTTCGTTTTGATTTTACCAGGAAAATATCAAAATGTAATTTTAATTTGACCTGGTCAACCTAGGTTACGAACTGTAGATCTTCTCTCCGGGTTATGGAGTTTTACTAGTCTGCCTGGGTTCCTAGAGGGTGGTGCTTATCACTAGTCTGTGAGTAGAGAGCATGCAAACAGGTTGGATATACTCCGTATACACAGCTATACAGAGGGTTCAGGTTGGATATCATTATACTCCTTATACACAGCTATACAGAGGGTTCAGGTTGGATATCATTATACTCCATATACACAGCCATACAGAGGGTTCAGGTTGGATATCATTACACTCCGTATACACAGCTATACAGAGGGTTCCGGTTGGATATACTCCGTATACACAGCTAAACAGAGGGTTCAGGTACACAGCTATACAAAGGGTTCAGGTTGGATATCATTATACTCCGTATATACACAGCTATACAGAGGGTTCAGGTTGGATTTACTCCGTATACACAGCCATACAGAGGGTTTAGATTGGATATACTCCGTATACAAAACTATTCGGTTCGGTTTGTATTTCATCAACCATCTTTATATATAGATCAGTGTTGAACCCGGCGTTAGTAACTTTGTTTTGCAAACGCATGCACAAATAAAGTTTTTAATGAGCGAAAACAACGGTTTAATCAGAACTAACAATCATATCCATCTCTATTTTTGTTCATTTATTTTATCTAAAACCGAATTAGCTAGACCGGATATAGCTCAGGATATTTTAGTTTTTTTATGTCAATTTGTTAAATTTAAAACCATAACAATATGAATTAAATATTTGATGATCAATATTGAGAAGATAGATTTAGGTCGCTGAGAAGGATAGAATATTGTCAACTATTTATCATTTTTCTGATCCCCAACCCTCATCCTATATATACAATATATACAACACCATATTCTCTGCACTTTATTAACCTTGATATATCCTGAGCTGGAAACTATTGGGTTGGATAATCCTAATACCGACTGCTTAATCTCCATGCACTTCTAACTTGATGATCAATGCAGAATCTTTTCATTTCAGTTGTCAGGGTTCAGGGTAAAGTTACGTTGTGGGATATCAGATAAAGAATAAATTAATCTGCACATTAACAAAAAATCCTGATCAAGCTTAGATATCGATATCCAAAAGAGTTTTCAGTTTCTGATCGAAAAAGTCTTCTTTATGATGTCTGTATGCAATTTTTTAGACTTTATTGTAAAGGGAGTGACTGGATACAAGCTTCAACACTCATCCTTGCTGGTCACTCCCTTTAAATTAAAATCTAAACAAATATAGATGGAACTCACGAGATAAACTTGTTTAAAAAGAGTTTTACTCATCAATTCACTTTTTAAGGAAATCGTCTCTAACTCTAATTTTCAAATCCTCAAATCCTCAAATCATTGCAACCTAATGCCTCAAACTTTAACTATCTAATCCTTATATCTTTGCAACCTATGTCTCATGCCTTAACCTCCAACTTTCTAATAGTTACATCTTTGTATACGCAATAGACTATTATTCTGTAATACAAGTGTTTCTAAACTGCAAAAATATTTAATGCGTCATTATTTTGTCTAATGAATCTGCTAAACTATTTATATTATTTTCCTAGGTTAATTTCTATAATTTCAATCATAAATACAATTTTTTAGATTTTTCATCTTCATGGAGTAAGAAGAGGAGGGTATTGAAAAGATCCTAGAAATATTTTGAGTTCTTTTATCGGCATAATTTCAAGTGACCATGTCTTTAAAGCGTTAAATCGCCGATTCACAACGGTACCTTTACCTCTGAATGGAAATAGTTTTTCTTTTTCTGCTGTAGAAATCATCAATTCACTTTTATAGAGAGCCGCAATTGAAATAGTTCATTATCAGATAGAAAAAAGGGATAACTCCATCATGATTGCTCATACAAAGGTTTTCATAGGCTATGTAACTATTTAAATGTAGGGTTACTTGAAATGACTCTTTAATAAGTAGTATGTGCAGTAACGTATTTTATCTTTTTTAAGGGAGTGACCGGCAATGTATGGTAGTTGAACTGAGAATGTAGTATTGTGGAGAAATTTTTTTAGGATTCATTTGAGACATATAATGTATAGTTACTGAGTTTGAGCGCAAAGTCGACGTTCAAAATAATCCACTTGGGTGGGTACGTTATGAGAATCGATTTCTTTTTAAATTATTAAATAACGACGACAAAAAATGTAAAAGAAATTCTACATTAAACTAATTTAGATGTTTAGGATCATATTTATCAATTGAAATTTTCTTAAAAATCAATGTTAGAATCAATTATTTCTTTTTCATTATTATATTGAATTTCTTATTCTTATAATGAATTTGCCCGCAAATTTCTACAAATACTTCAAATGTCGTCTTTTCATTAAAAATGAACAATGAAACATTACAGAAACCATAATTTAATAAGATTACTTATTTTCGATGATAATAGTTAATATTTATTTTCTCAACCTGTTCCTAAACAACTAATTAGTTTACTGTGGAATTTTACTACATTTTTCGTCGTCGTTATTGAAAAATCTTTTAAAAACCGATTCTTTAAATCATCCCTTAAATATGAACAATTTATAAGGATTTTAAAGATTAAATTTGCGCTCTTGCTGAAAAAATGCACCGTAAAAAGGTTTCATTGGTCTTAAATAATTCATAAAATAGTTCTCCACAAAACTACATTCTCAGTTCAACTACCTGTACATTGCCGGTCACTACCTTTAAATAACTAAAAATTCTGATTTATCAATTAAAAAATTGTAAATAATGTTATCGGTGTTAATTTTGTCACATTTATGTTGTTATAAAATCTTTTACGACTTTACTTGGCTACCTAAAGATAAGAATATATAATTTACTGTAAAGCTTAATAATTTTACAACTTCTTAAAATTAATTCTTTTGAATGTTCATCTACATATGAGTAGTAATCTCTGTGTTTTTGTTTGTATGTTTGAGAAGAATTAATGATTTGTCTAAAAGTTAAGTAAGATTAATTTTATAGGGAAATTTTTGTTTCCAGGCCAAGCTGTGTTTCCTAGGTAGTAAATATGAAAATAAATAACTATAGGAAATGTCGATATAATTTCAATCTAAAGTGTTTAATTATGGCAATTTCTCCATTGTTTCTGCACTAGAAATCTACAAATCATTTCTGAAGAGATACCACAATTAAAGATAATTAAACAAGAAAAAACATGGATGTCTCTTTAATTCTTGATTAGAAAAAGTATTTGAGGGAAATGTGAAATACCAATCTTAGCCCTTTTAATAATGAAGAAGGAATGAGGTTCCATGGTTTTTGAAGAAATATCTTCAAAAAGCGTATTTTAAATCTGATTTTTTAAAGTATTTAAATTCTTGCATATAACAATTTGATAATAAATATTGATTATGAATTTGTTACACAATTTCAATCTTCCGTGGGTTGAAAATTGATCAACCTGGCCCAGAGAGGATTAAAATTTACAAAGTTTTCTTTGATTAATCTGCAGAGTCAATAGTAATTAATCTTCGACATTTATCAACAATTCGTTATATAATTTTATAGAAAAATATGGGTTAAAAATCTTGAAAAAAAACTATTTACCCTAAAACGATTTAAACATTTGACTATATATGTGCATACTCTTTGATCCAATCCATGTATAGTATACTGCATGTGTGTATATATTATATATATACATATCTGAAGAATGATTAAATGTCCGGATATTCTAAATATGCATCTTCCTGTGCCATCCTGGTATCATGGATATTATTCTATATCTCCAGGTGTGTGATCGAACACGGAGAACCTTGACTCCTAGTCCTCATATCAAGGGATGGTTCCTGTCAACCTAGATCCTCTCTCTCTCATCCTTCTCAGTTCCATCCCAACCCTCCTCTCGAGCACATTCAAAACTTATTTATTACTGATTTGTTATTTTTGTTTCAGAGAAAAACTAAAACTAAAATGGCGCCCAGAAACCCAGAACAAGAACAGGAAATTTTGGAGGTAAATTTTTCAACGGGGTTTTCAAAACATTAATTGTTATATTATAATTTTTTATCAATTTATATTTCTGTAAAATCCACCATATATTCTCTAAATCACTCAAATTGTCTCTAAGGGAATTTAGTTTTTGCCACGAGCTTAATTTTCTAATCCGTATATCTTTGCAACCTGATTGTGTAAACCTTTTATGTTCCCAACTATTTGCCAGAACTTATAGGGTCAAATACCAAAGGTTTACAACATCGGATTGCAAAGATATAGAGATTAGAAAATCAGAGTTTGTGATAAAAACTCAATTCCTTAACAACACTTTCTCACTAAACCCGCCATTTTGTTCTTAAATCAAAATCCATTTTTTTTAATATCCACCTGTTCAAATTAAAACCTCGAGTTTTTGCCTTGAATTTAAGGTTTGTACTCATCGTACTTGATAACAATGCACTGCCCCCCTCCTACCTTTTTAATGAAGAAAAGTATATATTATGAAATTCCTATGGTGTTATTTTCAGTTTTAATTATATTTAAAGATGATTCTCATCATATGCTTAGTTTTGTTCAAACTCAATTAATAACACACAATGGAGGTTCTTCAATATCCCGCCATGTCATCCTTCAGCAGATTTATTCTTGAAAATCCGCCACTCCCTACCCTTAGTGTACAACACCCTAGGTGAAAGGGTGTTCCAAAAATAGAACCGCTGTTAAAATAATTTAATGGGACACATTTTTTTCGTTCTCTAAAATTGCATGCAAGTAGAAGTGAAAATTATTTTATTAAAAAAATGTGTTTTTTGTTACACACTTCAGAAGTGAGATGTTAAATGAGCACTATGGAAGCTATAAACCGCAAACTTTCTGAGCTTTCATGAGTATCATCGTTCAAACTAAGAAAACAAGCAAAAATATCAGTTTAAACTATTCAAGATGTCTGTCCGTTGAATCCGTTATAAACTCGCCATTTTAATTTCGAATCCACCATTTTGATTTTTAGTCACCATCTTAGTTCTGAAAACATTGTGTTGTTAAATTTCATCAGCTGTCACTGAGTCCACCAATAAGTCTCTGAATCGACCAGTTTGTTTCATGACCCTCCATTTTGTTTCTGAATCTACAGTTTTCACACTAAATCAACCATTTTGTCTCTAAATCAAGTTTGTATAATAAGGTTGGTTTATACTCTCGATGCGCTCCAATGTATGGAAATTGTTGTCTCCGAAGATAGATAGTTAAAAACCTAATATGACGTCACTGATTATATGTGAGGTTTTTATCTATCTTTCATAGAAAAGGCATTTTCCGTACATTGGAACGCATCGAGAGTGACCAACCTTATTATACAACCTTGTTCCAAATCCACAATTTTGTTTTGGAACCTTCTACTTATTTTATGACGCCGCCATGTTGTTTCTTATTTCTCCATTTTGAAAAAAATGCACGGATTTCTATATTTTTAGTGGATTGCTGCAGTCCTCGAGGATCCTTTGCCCGAGGGAGAATTTGAAGAGGTTCTCAAGAATGGAATCATTCTCTGCAAACTGATGAACAAGCTTGCACCTAATAGTGTACCAAAGTTTAAGGAGAAGGTAAATACGACATTGACATAAATAAATCTTGTTCAAGCGTGCACGTGCACAAAAATTTAATGAGAAGGTAAATACGACATTCCCATGAATCAATCTTGTTCAAGCTTGGACGTGCACCAAAATTTAATGAGAAGGTAAATACGACATTCCCATGAATCAATCTTGTTCAAGCGTGCACGTGCACCAAAATTTAATGAGAAGGTAAATACGACATTCCCATGAATCAATCTTGTTCAAGCGTGCACGTGCACCAAAATTTATAAGGAGAAGGTAAATACGACATTGACATGAATCAACCTTGTTCAAGCGTGCACGTGCACAAAAGTTTAAGGAGAAGGTAAATACGACATTCCCTTGAATCAATTTTGCTAAAGCTTGAACGTGCACCAAAGTTTAAGGAGAAGGTAAATACTACATTGACATGAATCNTAAAATAGAACAAGAGAACCAACAAGATAGAACAAGATTTCCAATAAAATAGAACAAGATAACCAATAAAATAGAACAAGATAACCAATAAAATAGAACAAGATAACCAATAAAATAGAATAAGATAATCAATAAAATAGAACAAGATAACCAATAAAATAGAACAAGATAACAAATAAAATAGAACAAGGTTACCAATAAAATAGAACAAGATAACCAATGAAATAGAACAAGATAACCAATAAAATATAACAATATAACCAATAAAATAGAACAAGATAACCAATAAAATTGAACAAGATAACCAATAAAATAGAACAAGATAACCAATAAAATAGAACAAGATAACCAATGAAATAGAACGAGATAACCAATAAAATAGAACAAGATAACCAATAAAATAGAACAAGATAACCAATAAAATAGAACAAGAGAACCAACAAGATAGAACAAGATTTCCAATAAAATAAACCAATAAAATAGAACAAGATAACCAATGAAATAGAACGAGATAACCAATAAAATAGAACAAGATAACCAATAAAATAGAACAAGATAACCAATAAAAAGCGGAATAATTGTTGAATTGGCATTTATTTTACGCAGGATTTTATTTTTCTAAATATTAAATTATTTCTATTTTATGTTTCTTTTAAAAAAAGTTTATTGTCCAGGGGAAAAGAGTTCAAAGAAACTTTTGACGACAATCCGTGTTTTTTGTGAACCTTAAACTTTTTTCTTTTTTAAGTATACAAAGATAAGGGACATGATATCCTGAATCAGACTTTATTAACAAAACATAATACAGAAAATAGTGATAAGGACCTATATACTGATAAAATAATAATAAATATAGATATCAAATCCTTTATCCAAAGAGAATAGAATATATATTAGAGTGGAATTTAATAGAAAAAAAGTGTTAAACGGCCATTTTGTTGTACTGTTTCCATACTGCAGGTACGTAGTTCACATATTTTGGCCCTAGAACATCATTTTATAGAAAATCTAAAATTAATATTAAAAGAACGATGATTTTTTGTTATAACTATAAATCAAATGATGTTTTTTTTATTCACCTAATTAATTTTATAAAGGTTATTTAACAGCTTTAAAAAATTCGAAATTGAAATGGATAGTCTAGGGAACATACTGTATTAATGTACTCTACTGCATATAATTTGTGAACATTTACATGATTTGCACACTTTCAGGTTGAAAGGGAATGAAAAAATTCATACCGAGGGATTGACTAAATTCCACTCTAATATATATTCTATTCTCTTTGCTTTTATCGTTTCATCAATAAGTTGCAATTTAACGTCAAAAACGTATAAAAAAATTTAAATTAATTTATCAATTTTTTTTTAAAGATTGAAATTATAATTCCATAAAATTATAGAATTTTTTTCTTTCAGTCAACTGCGGAAAACGTCATGAATAGATAATTTTAGGATGAAAAAAATTATAAAAATTGAACGTGACGCTATAGAAGGGTAAATAACAAAAAATAACCTTTGTATCCGATTATTATACAATTTTAATCTTATTTACTAAAATGTTAAAATTGGTAAAAAGATTGAAAGTTAATGGAACTGTAAATATTTGTCCTGAGATTCAAAGTTTTACCCGGAACCAAGAACTGTGCAAATATCTCTCTATATTAAAAAGATTGCCTTTTCTTGGATTTTTGTGTTGTTCATTTTTAAAAGTGTTTTTTTGTGGATTTTCCTGTTAATTGTATTTTTTTATTCAGGGCCCCGCCTTTCTGCTCATGGAGAACATCCAGTCCTTTCTCGCCGCCGCCAAGAAGTACGGAGTCCCTGACGAGGAGGTTTTCCAGACTCCGGACCTATTCGAGGCTAGGAATATAAACCAGGTATATAACCTCTATATTCTGGACCAATTCGAGGCTAGGAACATAAACCAGGTATAACCTCTATACTCGCGGACCTATTCGAGACTAGGAATATAAACCAGGTATAACCTCTATACTCGCGGACCTACTCGAGGCTAGGAATATTAACCAGGTATAACCTCTATACTCGCGGACCTATTCGAGGCTAGGATCATAAACCAGGTATAACCTCTAGACTCCAGACCTATTCGAGGGTAGGAACATTAACCAAGTATAACCTCTAGACTCTAACTCAAACCTCTGCAGAACTCTAATTTTTGACATCATCACCTTAACAATTTCTTTAAATGTTTGTAGATTTGACTGAAGTACTTGAGAAAACATTTTATTCAAATATTCAGATTAGAAAATTCAGTGCGCTACACACCCTTTTTTATTATTTTTTTCATTAATTTTCGATATTATTAAAACTAAAAGAATAAACCTTAGAAAGACTATTTGTTAAGTTTCTTGGCAACAAAAAAATCGTTTAAAGACAAAATATAAATTGAGAAATTAATTATAAAATTTTCCATCTCGTTCTAATGGATTTTAAAGGCCTGGCTTCCATCTTGTTTAATGTAAAAAAAATTAAACACTTTTTTCATAGATTAATTTTAACATTAAATTAACATTAGTTCGAGAAAGTGATCATTGAAATTCAACATGTTAACTTTATAAGATACGACAAAATCTTCCTCTGTGTTACTCTTTAAATAAAAAGACTTATACTAACCAGACCCTTTAAATTAATTTCAACCGAAGAAATGAATTAGAAACATGTAAATGACGTTTTCGTTCAGATTATGTCATTTATTTATGATAGAAAAGGGGACTGAGGACTATCTAGGAAATCCTGGACAAATAAACAAAATGTTACAAGATATAAACTAGACTTGAGTTAGCTTTGTGGAAACCTTCAAAATTATTCATTCAGTGTTTTAAACACCATTTCGACACTTTCTGTTTTACTTCTTAAAACACATGAATAAAAAACACGATAAAAATGTTAACATTCAAGTATTAAAAGCTGTAACAGACTCATTTATTAAGCACGTTCTATAAATCAAGAAATTACTTTATTTGAATTCGTGAAACACCGGATGACTTTTAATCATTAAAATATATTTAAGTTCAAAGGTTACATTAAGTTAAATAAAGTAATTGAGAAACATAGATAAATTGTGTGCATTTTCTAATTCACAAATTAGAATATTTATTTTTTGGGGGTGGGGGTGGGAGTATTTTAGAAGTTAAAGAATGAGAGGGGGTTGTATTGCAATGTGCATGTGCCATTTTCTCGAATTTACCGTGTTTTCGATAGTTCGAAATACCTGTCATCCGTTGTTTTCGAAAATATGAATTCTACTTTCAAAGATGACGTTGAACCACTTCTCTCGTGAACCAGTTCAAGTTATAGAAAAGTGGTTTAGGTTAAAGTCACTTTTCATTATTCATTAAAGAAACTGAGTTTTTGCCACAAACTCTGATATTCAAAGCCCTTTTTAACTCGATGTAGTAGATCTTTGATATTTAAAACTACTAAAGCTGTAATATTAAATAATCTAAGTTTAAATATCAAATATGTACTCCATCAGATTGTAAAGATATAGGAATAAGACAATTGGCGTTTGTAGCAATGACTCAATTCATTTGTTTCCAGGTTGTTCTCTGCCTGTTCTCCCTGGGTCGAACTACTCAGAAGCACCCTGAGTACACCGGACCCCAGATAGGTCCTAAGATGGCGGATAAGAACGTGAGAAACTTCTCCGAGGAGCAGATTCTGGCCGGACGGAATTCTCAGATAGGTCTGCAGGCAGGCAGCAATAAGGGTGCATCTCAGGTATTAAATTAATAACTTAGACTAGCTTTGGAATACGCCCAGAGTTTTTCTTATAAAGTAATCCTACTCAACTTTTAATTTTTAAACCAGGATAAGAATATTTCCGTAGTTCTACAGAAATACTCAAAATTTGTGGCAAATCGGTCCAGGGCTTCGTGAGTTTTTCTCTACCATTCAAACAGTGAAACAAACAAACAGAAATTACTACTTTATACTCACAAAGTTTTTAAATCCGGCCGGGAATGAAAACAGGAAAATCTTCGAATTTTTTTTTAGAAACCACGAAATAGCTAAGATTTTTACCAACAAAATTAAACCTAGTCTTAAATATTTTATGCCCTGGATGGCCTCTTTTTAATCTATGGTGACCATATCCTGAAACCATAGATAAATAAATAAACATAGATAGCTTATGTACGCAAAATCACCAAGAATTGTACAGTCCGCGAACTCATACTTCTAGGGGTCAAAGTGTACTTCAATGATAAGCGGGGTGGTTTGGTGTTTCAATAGATTTCATAATGGAACTATTTGAACAACAATATTTCACTGAGCAATATATCATATTGACGAGAACTGAAGAAGTACATGAGAAGGACTAAACTAAATTAAATTTCTCTCTACGGAACTCATGTACACCACAAGTACTCAATGACATAAGAACAGCCAATGTTCACAACTGACCTAGTTAATCTATATAATAGGAATATCTTTAAAACATCTCTTATATCTTTCAAGATGAAAAATGTCGTCTTATGCGCAATCTATCTTTATCTATGCCTGAAACCCATATATTCCCAGCTGAGCTGGGTTAAAATTTTCACTATTTTCTTATGGGTTTAAAAGTCAATATTTACGCATTTTTTGCTCTGAAGTTCGCGCATATGATCATCTTCCAGCATTACTATTTGGGATTTTCTTTAAATGTACTTTTAAAAGTTTAAACTGTATATTAGATGTTTTATAATTGACGTGCCATTTTTGTGTATTTATTTATTTTAATACTGTTAACAATTAAATTCATATTTCTTAATATTTTCCAGGGCATAAAATTATCTAAAACCTACTGGTTGAACACTATAGTTTCAGTAGAAGTAAATATTTCCATTTACTGATATCGGCGATTGAAGGATTCATGACTCTGATTGGATAATAAGATAGATAGAAAGATAGATGATACCACCATGCAATTTCCATTGGTTCAAAACACATGACTGAACCCTGATTGGATCAGGGCTAATGGACTCTGCATACAAGAGTGTGAAGGGGGATCGTAAAGTATTTTCGCCAAAAGCATTTCTTTTTCTCGAGGGTTCGAGACTTTTTTGATGAGATTTTTAACCAGAGCGTATTGGCTCAAATACTTTATACCTCGCCTCCCTTCAACCAGTAGGGTTATAAATAGTTATTTATGTTCTTAATCTTTATATTTTTCTTCTAAACATCTAGGTTTGCGTGTAAAGTGTGAGTGTGAATGTTTGTACAATGTATATCTTTATTATCGTTTCAGATCATATTTCAAAGAATTAGGCTTTTCAAATATTTTTTTACGAAAATGCACGTTTCTAAAGTCAATGAAAATAGAAACATGTTACCTCACACATAAAGGTTGTTAAATCTCTACAAAGTATTAAAATATAAGAATAAATTAAGAAATATTTTTTTCAGGCCGGTCATGGAGGAATGGGAAATACGAGACATATGTAAACATTCTTTCACAATATAAAAAACTGTAACAATCTACTTTTAATCATAAAATTTTCTGTCGTCTTTTCTTTAAATGTATAACTCTCGGTCCCCCTACACTGATAGCTTTAATATTTTTTTAACGTCGATAACAATAATGCTAAAAGTTTTTGAATGTTTTATGAAATTTTTATTTAATTTTTTTTCTTGACCAAAAGTATGAAGAATTATAGATTTTGTAGCATCAAGTGCAGTGTGTATACAGTACAGTACGGTACAGACTGCATCATCAAGTGCAGTGTGTATACAGTACAGTACAGTACAGTACAGTACCGTACAGACTGCATCATCAAGTGCAGTGTGTATACAGTACAGTACAGTACAGTACAGTACAGACTGCATCATCAAGTGCAGTGTGTATACAGTACAGTACAGTACAGTACAGTACCGTACAGACTGCATCATCAAGTGCAGTGTGTATACAGTACAGTACAGTACCGTACAGACTGCATCGTCAAGTGCAGTGTATACAGTACAGTACAGTATAGTACCGTACAGGCTGCATCATCAAGTGCAGTGTGTATACAGTACAGTATAGTACCGTACAGACTGCATCTAACGGATCTAACTAGTAATGTAAGATGAATAAAATTCTTGATTCAATGGTTTATGCATTTTCTATATACTTTTTCAAAACAATGTAACTTTTGTTAAATCTTTTCATCAAAATAAATTATTTCATGAATATGTTTGTATCATTTAACTGTCGACGAGAAAAAGAAATATATTGAAAATCACATTTTTCTCTATTTCTTTGTTGCCTGGCAGTGTGCGGTATGAAATAGGTGGGTGCCATGCTCTAATTGTTGAATTGTTCGAGTGTTGATCAGGGAATAGGAATAAAGGGAAAGGAAATGGAGCTGGTCTGGCATGAGAAAGCCAGTCGCACTGCTTTGCAGACCAGTACGGTAACATAAACATTAAACTTACATTAAACTTAAACATTAAACTTACACACACTCTTTTGGTACAGACACACAACATGATTACAGTCAAGGAAATTGCAGAACAATGTTGTCAATTATAATTAAACGTGAATAACGACTATATTTGTTGTAAACTTTAATCAAATTATATTCTTTGCATGAAAATTTGGCTTATAGTGTTAACTTAAATATGTAAATAATATATTACATGCATATTAAACTTATTTCTAGTAAACAATTAACAATAAACAAATGTACTCGCCTAGATTGTACAAATACCGAGATTCATATGTACTGTAAAAACCTACTGTACATACCTTTGGTACTTTAAACTGACACACACTCTTTTGGTAAAGACACACACAAATGACGTTTCCGCCCCCTGGTGTTGATTTATTTCAGTAATTTATCAAAATCCTCACTCAATTGACAGGTTTATTGGGACACCCTGTAGGAACAACGCACATGGTATATACAGAATTACCCACAAATGACGAGACTGTAAAGACGACCTGAAACTCTTAAAATATGATGATATCCTGGTTGAATTGTGTAAGATTAAGTCTATAAATGAATAAGAAAGTTTACAGTTGAAGGGAATCATAATTATAAGGAAACAGTAAAATTTCCGGACAGTCGTCCCTGAGGTCTCATCCTTTGTTTGTAGCTATGCACATGAATACTGATGTACATTTGTTTGTAGCTCTGTACATGAATACTGATGTACATTTGTTTGAAATGTAGTTGTGAACAAGCATCATCTGTCAAGAAGGAGATAATTCATTAGGTGTTCTTTCCAGTTTTGTACAGTCTGTTTATATACTGTACAACTTAACCTATGTAGCTACAGTCTGTACATATACTGTACAACTTAACCTATGTAGCTACAGTCTGTACATATACTGTACAACTTAACCTTTGTAGCTACAGTCTGTACATATACTGTACAACTTAACCTTTGTAGCTACAGTCTGTACATATACTGTACAACTTACCTTAGCTACCTAAAACCCAGTCCGATACTGCAAATGTTGGAATTTTAAGTGAAGCGCCTTTGTTTCTTTTTACGGAATGAAAAATAAAAATTAAATTAATCTGTAGATTAACAATAGATCTAGATCAAGCATTGATCTCGATATCCACAATACAAAAGTTTACATACAAGTTTGTTAAGATTAATATCAAATTATGGACCAACAGTTTATTAAAAATCTTTATTACATCATTATTTTGTAAATATTAAAAAGAACAAGAACAACAATTTACTAATATAAAATTCACATCAGAAATCACAGATTTGTTCGTCCTTAATCCATGTTATACAATATGGATTTCAGAGCTTTAAATCCTAACAAAACCCGACCCACACAGTTTTGTAATCTTACTACCTACTTTTCTCAGCAATCCTACTAATCAAGTCCAACATACGTCCTACTTCTCATCATACCACCCGTCCTAATCCTCCTCATCATCCACACTTCCGTCCCACTTCCCTCATACTAACTTCCGCCCCATTCATCACAATTTCCATTCTACCTCTCCTCATCCCCATCTCCGTCCAACTCCTCCTCATCCCAGCCCCCTTCCTACTCCTCCTCTTCCCGATCTCCGTCCTACCTCTCCTCATCCCAAACTCCATCCTACTCCTCCTCATCCCCATCTCCGTCCTACTCCTCCTCATCCCAACCACCATCCTACTCTCCTCATCCCAGCCCCTGTCCTACTCCTCCTCATCCCAACCACCATCCTACTCTCCTCATCCCAACCCCCGTCCAACTCCTCATCATCTCAACCTCCGTCCTACTCATCTCAACCTCCGTCCTACTCATCCCGACCTACTCCTTCTCATCCCAACCTCCGTCCAACTCCTTCTCATCCCAACCTCCGTCCTACTCCTCCTCAACCCGAACTCTTTCTTACTACTCTTCATTCCAACCTCCGCCCTACACTTTCTCATCCAATCCTTCTTACTTACTTCTCATCCCAACCCCTCGTTCCAAACTACTCCTTATCCCCTCTTCCGTGTTTTTCTCCTCTTAATCCCTATAATTCTTCCTCCATAAACAACAGTTCTTGTCCTAGTAATTAACCTACTCAACCTAATCCCAGCACCCATTCTACTAATTTCATTTTTCTTATCCTAAAACCAGTCCTTGTCCTCCAACTCATTTTCCAGACCAATCTCTCCTCTCAACACCAGTCCTCCTCTTCGTCCTCACTATTTCTATTCCTATGATTTTGTCCTCTACTAGGACTAGGACCAACACCAGGACGTGGTTGAACTACAACAGGGAGCATACGACTACCACGCCCCGCCTGGACGGCCTCCTCCATTCCCGCCCATCCAGGTAGAGGAGCAGGGAGGGTACGACGGGCAGGTACAGAATGACGGGGCAGGGTTGAAGGAATCATTCCTAGTAAAGGAGAAAAATCTCCGAAATGTTTATGAGAGGGACTACGACTGAGTTTAGGGAAGTTTATGCTTAGATCAGTCTCGGAGAGAAGACCCGGTAATGTTGGAGACCGGTTTATATGAATAGGATGGAGCTGATCTATGTTTAGGTTTGAGGGCTGCTGAGGGGTTGGAGGAAGCCGACGACGAGGTGGTGGAGGTCGGAGCAGACCAGCAATGTTTGGATCTGTGGCACTCCGTCGGTGCGGAGAAGGTGTGTGGGCTAGGAGAAGGTCAGGTTGGATATGAGCTGTTCTCCAGGGGGTCCTGGGAGGAGGACTAGGAGCCTCCCATGTATCCTGGTAAAATCTAGCATCAGATCTCGAGTTATTCCACTCCCCTCCATAGGTTTCCTCATCATCAGAATAACCTAAACACACAATATTGATTAAAATTCAGATTTTAGAAAGGAACAAACCACTAAATCAAATATTTGAATGCCAAAAAATACGAATTTCATGTAAAAAAAATTTTCATAGAAAATACAAACGAATCGCGTCCTTGCCACAAACTCTGATTTTATAATCCCTTTGTTTTAGACCTTAGATATTTCAAACTTAGAATTTCGTTAAATCAAATAATTTAAGTTTAAAATATCAAAAGGTTACGCCATCAGGTTACAAAGATATATTTGCAGCAAAGACTCAATACTTAATGACAAAGAATAAAATCACAGAAAGAATAAAAGGGAAAGGAATTTTACCAACTAAACTAAAACTAACTTGAGACTCAAAACAGATAAAATGGAATTTAGAAAACCAATAAAAATAGCTTAAATAAGGGTTAATTCTATAATTTCTACAAAAAAGCTCAAAATCTAACTGCATTATCAATATCTACAGTTCTAAAATCAATTCATAAAAAAATATAACTATTAAGAAGAAAGTTCATAATCATGCAAATGATCAAGAAATGTTGTAACAAATCTAATAATTAATAAGTCCATTCTCATCTACAATTTTCTAAATCATATATCTTTGCAATCTGATGACTTGGGCCTTTTAATATTTCTAACAATGAATTCCATGAAATAAAATAATTAAGTTAAATTATCAAAAATTAATACCATCAGGTTGCAAAGATGGGATTAGAAAATTTTAGTTTGCTGTGGTTGTGTTCAATTCCTTTCATGCCATATTTGTAATACAACATTCCACAGATAATCTATTCAGGACTTTTTAATAGAGCTTCTTGCATCATAAATATTTATAAAATTTAACAAAAATATACATATGTGCATCATGCATCATGCATCATGCACATTGCACAAATCCAAAATATTTGTTTTCTCAAAAATCAACTCTCTTGACCAAATTGTTTTTTAGTTCCTAATACTTGTGTTTGTAGTTTTTTTAATGATCAATGGCTGAAAAAGTTAAATCCTGGCAAACAAATGCTGTCAAAGCTTATATTTTTTTTTATTAGTTTGGATTAAAGATTGAAATTTCTCAAAAAGATAATAAAAGTAATATTGTAAATGAATAAAAATTATTTGTTTAAATAAATATCTATTTAAATTATGTTAAGTGCGAAATAGTTTATGCCGGGATTTTATTTTTTCTAATTTGTTTGAGATCAAAATGATAGTATTACACACCAAACGTCGATAACGTTACTTTATCACCATGTTGTAAGGTAATAAAGTAAGTTTATCACCCCACAACGGGGATTATTAGAATTGACATTTTAAATTTTGTTAGCCGGGTTAAGTTACTTTTTCGCCTCGTGTAAAAGCCACATTATCGACCCAAAAACGAGAAATATGAGGTGTAATAAATTCCCTCAAAAATTAATAAAAAAAAATTTTCATTTAACGTATATATGTATACTGTAACTATATATTTTAAGTGCAAATTTCCTTAAATGATAAGTGAATGCAAAAACATTTAAATCATCAAAATTGCGCATTTTCCAGAATTCATTTTCATTGATTTCGGTGTTAAGAACAGTAGGAAGTATTAACAAATATTTCAATGATTTATCTTCAGTAAAGTAATAGCCAGCGTAATTTCAAGTGACCCTCCATGCAAAGATGGCAATGACATCTAGGTCACACAAAGCTTTTAAAAGTACCATTGTTAACCTGGCATTGTCATGGTCACTTGAAATTATTATTGCAGTCACTTTAAAACTCTCGTTCATTGCATGCACATGCAATAATTTTGCTTATTTAGAACTTTTAACACATTATTAGCGTAATTTCTAAGAGTGAAAGAGAAATGTTAAAAATCCTCAGTTACTAAATGTCTGCTAACCACAGATCTAGCTGTATTTGTTTACCTCTGAAATCCTGCAGTACGATTCTCTCTAGGAAAACAACAATGTTCAAACAACAACAACAACAACATGACAGGTTCAATATTTCATGACGTTCAAGTTGCATGTAGGGTTTCCAATTTCTTTCGGATCATCTTGGATCCGTAAACACCTTACCAACTATTCTGAATCTGTTATAGTATATTATAAACCATTAAAAACTTCAGAAAATTAAGGGCAACACATTTTTTAACCGAATTCAGACTACCAAGCTAAAACAAGTTTATAGGACAATTATCCCGGATTAATTCCACATGGAATAATCGTTTCCGTAACTTTTTCAACATGTCAAACCTAGTTTTGTGAAACAGCCAGGGGTATGGGTTTCTTGAATATCGGTTAAAAAAGCTAGGATTCGCCGAATTTACAAAGTTAAAATGGTTTTTATTTTTAACAGCTTCAGGAAAATTTGACACCCTACATGCAGGAAATTATAACCATTTTTTCTTTTGGAAAGGAACTGAACTCCTGTCTCAAACTCTATATTTATATTCCTTATTACTAGCTTTGCAACCTGACATTTTAAACTGCAAATTATGCCGGCCAGATAGTCAAATAGTCAAAGTTTGAAATATCAAAGGTTTACTCCATCAGGTTGCAAAGAAGATTAGAGATTGAGGCAAATGTTCAGTTCTTTTCATAACAAGTTCTGACGGAGAAGAAATGAGAAAAGTACTTCAATAACATTTACTATTAAAGTCACATCCAAAACAAGAATCTGACATATGCACTCAGGAGGGGGGGGGGGGTGTCAACAAAATACATTTATACCAACAACAAACATATATTTAAAATCTCGACTAAAGTTCGAGTTTTGAAGTAATCTTTCTCCAATTCAAATGTCGTCTTTTTATATTAAAGTTATAAATTAATGTTCAAAGTCCCTAAAAATGTAAGATCGTTCTAAAAGAAGAGGCGTGATACTGTCTCTCATAAAAAGACGACATTTGAAAAATTGTATTCTTTAAATACAGAACTATAGTCGCATAAGCTTGAGTTACAGAGGACATAAAGACTGGTTTCTCCTTATATGAATACTTCTTGTTTAGATAGTTTAATAATTTAACCAATTTTGATAAACCTGCAGATTTCATGTGTTTACAATATACATGTACATACATTTATTTCTTATTTCAACATCAAGAACATAAAAGTGCATTTATCCAAGGCTAAAAACTTATAAATGAATGGAATGATTTAAACTTCTTTCTCCTCGTACAGAGATATTTAGTGATCTCTCATTGGTCAACACTTTTGAGATTCAACCAATGAAAGATCGGTTCATCTTTCCTTGTAAGAGAATGAGCTAAACTCTTTCTTTCTATTTAAAAGTTTTCAGCTCATAACACAACAACTGAGTACGCCCACTTATCGTATGTAATGTTGATTAAAAGTAAAGGAATTACTAAAAAATTAAAATTAAATTGTTCTTTGAGCCACGCGGCATTCTTTCGTAAAAAAAGATATTTTTGAATTCTTGGATTTTCAAAATGGTGTCCCATTTTTCCTCCATTTAAAGGGAATATAGACATAATTTCCAGTGAGTCTATTTTAAGAGAGTGACGTGTTCACAACTTTTATCTGATCAATGAACGATGAGGAGATATCCTTGATTTTCTAGCTAAAAAATAATTATTTTCCATAAATTTTGCCATAACATTGTGGATTTATGCTGTAAAGGCAATGAAGGAAATTTTCATAATTCTACACACTTTAAGATAGAAAAAAGAAGGTATCTTCTTTATTATTGTAAATCATACATGCCACTCCTCTTTAAATTAGGGTTCCGTGAAATTGCGTCAACACTCCCTTTAAGTTAGTACACAATTAATGCAGCCAAATGTCTTAAAATGCCTTCATATGACCCATATTAATTTTAATAAATATTTATAGGTCGTCTTACCTGGCATAGTTGGATAGGGCGGGGAGTTGGAGACTGGATTTATTCTTCTGGAAATGAAAAAAAATAATTTTAAAAGTTAAATCAGGCGCCAAGAGATGGATGCCCAATAGGATAGGAGAATATATCCTGAGCCCGCGATTTAAAAAATTTAGGAAAATAAGACTCAGGTCTCAGCTGCCATTGAGACTAATTTAAGACTCGAGTTTCAGATTTAAGTTGCAACTAATTTTTCCCAGAATTTAGTTTATTAAACAGGTTTAATATTGTTTGGCGTATTGTCATATTGTGGAAATTGGAGGATTTGAGGAATTTGAATCAACATAGAGACGAATTCTTCACTAAACCCAATCAAGGTCGGTTTTATTTTCATTGGGCCCAAATAGATTGTCCTATTTGATTGAGCATAACTCCTTAAGTCGAGTCTAAAAATTGGAAGCTGTCGATCACAAGCACAATCTGTTGTCTGCTGATTCATAAGTTGGGTCAATAATTAAGCCTTAAACCTGGGTCTGAGGCATGAATACTCGAGCCGAATCTTTTAAATTTTTCAATAATTCAAGTTCAATCAGACTTTTATGCTTGGCTTTAAATGGAAATGAAAGAAAGCACTCTGTGGGTCTCTAGTTTAAATGGAAACATTAAATTCTATTTTTACAGTAAGGTTTGTATCTAGAAGTAAGGTTTGTATCTAGAAGTAAGGTTTGTATCTAGAAGTAAGGTTTGTATCTAGAAGTAAGGTTTGTATCCAGGAGTAAGGTTTATATCTAGAAGTAAGGTTTGTATCTAGGAGTAAGGTTTGTATCTAGGAGTAAGGTTTGTATCTAGAAGTAAGGTCTGTATCTAGGAGTAAGGTTTGTATCTAGAAGTAAGGTTTGTATTTAGAAGTAAGGTTTGTATCTAGAAGTAAGGCTTGTATCTAAGAGTAAGGTTTGTATCTAGAAGTAAGGTTTGTATCTATGAGTAAGATTCGATCCAGGATTAAGGTTTGTATCTAGGCTTATAGCTTGTATCTAGGAGTAAGGTTTGTATCTAGGAGTAAGGTTTTGGATCCAGGAGTTAGATTTGAATCCAGGATTAAGGGTTTGTCTAGTACTTTGGTTTGATTATTGTTTGTTCATGGTTTGTTCATAGTTTGACTATGGTTTGATTATGGTTTGATTGTGGTTTGATTATGGTTTGATTATGGTTTGATTGTGGTTTGATTATGGTTTGTTCATGGTTTAATTATGGTTTGTTCATGGTTTAATTATGGTTTGTTCATGGTTTGTTTATGGTTTGTTTATGGTTTGTTCATGGTTTACCTGGAGGAGAAAGCTGAGATATGGTTCGAATAAGAGTTTTCTTCTATATTGTTCAAACGCCGAGCCTTGTCCAAAGCTTTAAACATTCCTCCCTAAAGAAGACATAAAATTTAAGTTTCTAGAAAAAACAGTAAGACCCGGAAAACTAAATTAAAAGAAGACGACGGTTGGACTCAAATTATGATTCAAAAATTCTGCAAATATTATAAAAGGTTAACATTTGTGCAGTGTCAGTGTACGTAAACTTAAATTTGGATTTAAATTTGGAGTAACAAAGAGAAAGATATCGTCGATTTCCCTCCTTATCTTTTCTGCGTAATCCGCAAGTACACTTTTTAAATTATTTGTAATTAAAATAAAAAAAATGTAAGAAATATAAAACAGACAAAGGTTTAAAGGGTTATGGTTGTAAGTTTAAATTACGTTGACAATCCCTTTAAATACTTTTACTACCTTGTTCCTTGAAGGTTTACTACCTTGTTCCCTGAAGGTTTACTACCTTGTTCCCTGAACTACCTTGTTCCTTGAAAGTGTACTACCTTGTTCCATGAAGGTTTACTACCTTGTTCCCTGAAGGTTTACTACCTTGTTCCTTGAAGGTTTACTACCTTGTTCCTTGAAAGTGTACTACCTTGTTCCATGAAGGTCTACTACCTTGTTCCCTGAAGGTTTACTACCTTTTTCCCTGAAGGTTTACTACCTTGTTCCTTGAAGGTTTACTACCTTGTTCCCTGAAGGTTTACTACCTTGTTCCCTGAAGGTTTACTACCTTGTTCCTTGAAGGTTTACTACCTTGTTCCTTGAAGGTTTACTACCTTGTTCCTTGAAGGTTTACTACCTTGTTCCTTGAAGATTTACTACCTTGTTCCTTAGAGGTTTACTACCTTGTTCCTTAAAGGTTTACTACCTTGTTCCCTGAAGGTTTACTACCTTGTTCTCTGAAGGTATACTACCTTGTTCCCTGAAGGTATTGAATCCCTGAACTGAGTCTGTTTCCAGTTTTCTAGCATCAGTATACCACCATACATCTTACCAACAGTCAGGGTGCCGCGTCCTATTTCTAAAATATAAAAACTTTTTTTAAATATTTTTTTAAGACTGTAAAGACGACCTAAAACTCTTCAAGTATGACGATTCCAAGGTTGTATTAAATCTTCTACCTTACAGCTACAGGTACTGGGGACTAAGACTAAAGTTTCATCCTTTGTTGGAGTTAAAATCCAAGCCCGGGGCTTGAACTTAAGATAAAGTAATCGTTATGTAACCGGAACCAAATTTTATGAATTAGAGAGGTCGCTGGATCAGTAAATCAGTGATTCAGGATTTGAACTGGCTTAAGGAAGGTAGTTCAATGACTTCTCGCAACTCATAAAATCATGTCTCGAATTTTTTGTTTTGTAAATATATCGAGAATTTTCAATACATTTAATATATTCTTATATTTTTTCAGTTTCCTAGATTAAAATCAAAATTGTGTAAAATGTGGGGAACTTAATTTTGACCAGGGTGTGGGAGAAAATAAAGAAGGTTGAAGAATAAACTTGATGAAAAGACTGAAGATGATTTGACTCCAAAACTGTAACTCGTAAAGTTCCTATAAAGGATATTCTCTCAACTTTTCGGTTCAGATATATAAATATATAATCCTACTTTCTATTTAATACACGTGGTCCTCATCTCAGCAAGCTTTGACTTTCGATCCCAATTCCACCTCTTAAACAAACTTTTTTACCTTTTCTCTTTAATAACTATTTGTCGACATATACCTTTTAAATAAAAATCACAACTGAATCAAATTTGATAAAACGAAAGTACCATGCCCAGGTTAGTCCAGGGTGAATAGGTCGCCATATCTTAAAATATACTTTGTGTCTTTGGGTTGTTGACTGACGTATGAGCTTTCAAAATATAGCAATCCTTCTTCGTATCCTGAACTAATTCCAATTATTTTGATTTAATATCTCTAGTAACGTAAAAAGCACAAAAAATACATAAATACATGCTTTTCTTAGTAATCCTAGCCATTTTGTTGCATTCGAAGATATCTATATATTTAAAGTTGTAATCTCTGTTTGTCTGTTTGTTTGTTTGTCCGATCATAACTCAGGAACCTCTGGACTGATTTGCCTCAAATTTTGATTGAGGAACTCGAGAGAGCCACGGGAATGTTCTTAGTATGGTTTAAATATTCTAAGTTGAAATCTAATTTTTTAAATCGATTTTTTTCTTCAAAATTTAAAAAATCAAGTGTTTCTAAAATTCCACGGGCAACGCCGGGCAGTTCAGCTAGTATGTTATAAATGCAAAAGAGGTAAAAATGGTTTCAGTGGATTTTCGGATTTATTTTTCTTTGGTGAGATGAATCCTCGAGGGAGCTAAGACTATTAATCCTGATCAATTTGACATTGTTATCCTTGGAGAGGAGTTTATGAACTAGATAGAATATATCCAGGGACAGGGTAGAACAGATACTTGGTGTCCTCGGAGAGATTATTATTAAACCTGTAGCCAAGGGAGTTCTATCTAATATATTTGTAGCTTGAGCTTACTCTATATATTGTAGTAACTTTGTGAAAAGTACAGTGTTCACCAAAAAGAATGAAAAAGAAATGAGTTTTTACCACAAACTTTCGTTTTTTTAACTTCTATATCTTTGCAACCAGACGTCGTAGATCTTAGGTATTTCAAACTATAAGTTTTGTTGGATCAAAGTATTAAAGTTTAAAATATCTAAGGTTTACACCATCAAATTATAAATATATTGTTATTAGAAAATTTGAGTTTGTGGCAAAAACTCAATTTTTTCCTGGACAACTTTAGACTCTTTAAACACAGTGCAGTGTGCACAAACCCATTTTACTCAAATAAAATTTTTTTTTAAATCTTTAAACTTTCTACTGGTAAATCTTTAATAACAATCAAATAACTCATAAAATTGCTTTAATTTGGTCAACTCCTAAATCAACATCACACCCGCAACCGTTTTACCAACGACCCGCAAATGACATCACAAAACGGGATTTGCGACATGAGCTTAACCCTATGCCCCTATTAATTTAAATTTATAAAGACGTCATTTCATCTATCATACAATAAACTTATTCATCATACTTTCTTTATGTGACAGCTCTTGGCTGAATGAAGCAATAGTTGTGAAAACCCATATACTAGTATAAATAGTAAAAAGTGCGTGTTTTTATACTCTTTATCTAATAGGTCGGCATAGGAGTAAGCGCATGCCGCAAATCCCATTTTGTGACGTCATCTGCGGGTCAGAGGTAAAACGGGTGTCCGGGTCGCCTTCCCCGCCTCGTATGCGTCAACCCAGCATTCTGTCTTGTTTATCCACGATGGATATATATTATCATACCCTGAGTAGCTGGAACCAACAGATTGATCTTCTCTCGAGCAGTGAAAGGCCAGACCTTGAGAATAGTTTCCCTGAGTTCAATATCCGCCTGATCCATCTCTTCCGCTGATCTCATCTACAGGTATTAAAATGAGAAGGTAATGAATGTCGTCTTCAATTTTTTTATAAAAATGAAAGGAGATTGGTCAAGCAAAGACGCCCTGGCAATAATAAAATACTGGCCCAGTCTCAATATTTCATGCAAAAATTGTGTAGATTTTGTCTCAGATTTTTAACAAATACTCGAATTTTATCATATGTTTAACCAATATTATTTTCTGGTAGGAATTGTGTATGAACCGATCAACAACAAATATTAGCAATAAAAAAAAAAACAATTAAATTGATTTCTTAAAAGCACCGAAAAAAATTATGATTTTTGTGTGAGTTATCTTCTATAGAGCTTTAAATCACATATTCAAAAATATTCATAATTTTCAAAATTTAACACCTTGTCCAACGGAAAATATTTATAAATATTTACAAAATTTTTATACAGGGTGTCCCAAAAAACATGGGAATTCAGTGACGAATTCGATATCGTCTTTTTAACTAATTTTTTGATTTAGTTTAGTGATACCTACTGAGAAAGCTGTAATCTGTAAGACTTTCGTCTGCTATGTTCACATTTTGTTTGTTTATGTTTTGACTGCATACGGTTGTACTTAGTAAAACAAGAAAATTGCAGTATACAAACAGAGTAAACTTGTCCGTCCTCACTGTTCATCTTGCGGAGACATTATAAACACATCTTTACAGTCTTTTACTCTTTTCATAAAATAAACTCTAGCAGACATAATAATATTATGGCTCTTGAAATAGGTATTACTATGCTAATTCATAACAAAGACGATATCGAATTCGTCACTGAATTCCCATGTTTTTTGGGACACCCTGTATTATGCTGCCACTAGAAGTTATTAAAAAACTGGGAAATTATGCGCATTTTGAAATAGTTGAACAATCCCTTTGAATGAACTCATATTTTGTTTATCTAACCTTAATATTTAAGTTCTCTCTGATGAGAGCGAAGAGTGTTGTGGTAAACTGAACCTTCCCTTCTCCGTCCAGGGGCATATTCATCCGGATCAACTTCTTATACGCTAACCTAGAAAATTATAAATCAATCAATCAATCAAACAAAACGGAACTTAACGTGACTTTAATGAGAAAGGTTTCCATGTTTTTTCTCTGAAAATTAATACTTTTATATTGGGTTTGTCCCTAAGAGTTGACAGAATTTTTCAAGACCAAAAATACAACGATATCCTTGGCCAGAAAAAAGGTTTAAAAGGAACCATTGTGAATTGGAGGATGGCTTGAAATAGTAATATTATTTGTAGGCCTTGAATGGATTGTAATATTAATTTAGAGTGACACTCTATGCAACGATGGCAACGCCCGAATTACAACAGTATCCTTTTATCTGATTAATAATATAGAAGATATTGTCATTTTTAGGTATTTAACCTTCAGTGGACTATTCTTATTTTAGACATTTAACCTTCAGTGGAATAATCTTGTTTTAGACATTTAACCTTCAGTGGGATAATCTTGTTTTATGTATTTAACCTTCAGTGGAATATTCTTGTGTTTAGGTATTTAACCTTCAGTGGAATAATCTTGTTTTAGACATTTAACCTTCAGTGGAATATTCTTGTTTTAGACATTTAACCTTCAGTGGGATATTCTTTTTTTAGGTATTTAACCTTCAGTGGGATATTCTTGTTTCAGACATTTAACCATCAGTGGAATATTCTTGTTTTAGGAATTTAACCTTCAGTGGGATATTCTTATTTTAGGTATTTAACCTTCAGTGGGATATTCTTGTTTTAGACATTTAACCTTCAGTGGAATAATCTTACCTGTCAGGGCATTTACTCCCGAAGCCTAGGGGTGGATCCATATTTTTAAGCATATCATACATCTCGGAGTAATGAATCCGTCCTCTGAAACAAATTATCATATATCTCGGAGTAATGAATCCGTCCTCTGAAACAAAACATCTCGGAGTAATGAATCCGTCCTCTAAAACAAAATAGATAAGTTAAAATTCAAAATAAAAGTTTGATGAGGTTATTCAAATTTAATTAAATTGAATTTAATTAAATCAATTTTTTCAATTTAAGTTTGAAAGAAAAAATTTACTAAAGGGACTGAAAACATAATTTCAAATTTCATTTTCACAAAGATATCCTTTAAATCCTTGACTGTTTATCGATGACAGAGATATCCTCATTTTTCCATCTAAAATATAGAGTGCCAGGGGCCTGCCAGGTTAACAATCCCTTTCATATAAAGAATACTCACGTTGCACTCGGATCATATTCCGCCCAGATCCTGATATACTCCTCGAGGTGGTGAGCCCCCAGGATTGATGAGTCTCGAGTCAGATAATCAAAATTATCCATGATGACAGCAACAAACAGATTCAACATCAGGAAACTTAAATATATATATGTACAGGCTTATTCATAAACCATACGCCACGTCAAACTAAAGTTAATTCCACGTTAGATTGAAATATTTTAAATTTCTAATATATAACCAAATAAAGGAATTGAGTTTTTGCCACAAACTAAAATTTTTCTATCGTTATAACTTTGCAACCTAATGTCGAAGACCTTAGATATTTCAAACTATGAAAGCTGATAGATCAAAAAATTTGAGTTTGAAATATCGAAGTTTTAACATACCCAGTTGCAGAGATATTGGGTTTAGAAAATCTGAGTTTGTGACAAATCCTTTGTATATCTTATACTTGTGCGTAAAATAAAACTTCAAGAAGCTACGAGGTCACAAAATTGTACCAGTCATGTTGCACAGATGTTACTTTCGCCTTCTGTCAAGTTTACAGTGTAACATGAGATATTTTTAATGATTCTTTGTAAATTTAAGCTTTAGATTGTATTGTAGTGTTACTGTGCTTATAAGATTTTACGGTCGTCATTACATCATTGTTTACACGTAGCAGCAACCTTTAATTTATTTTTATTTTTTTCAACTATGTAAACGGTCAGCTTAACTAGAAAGCGATTTGTGGAGATCTACAATATAATAAATGACAGATTCCAGATGGGCAAACGACAAGAGAATTGGGTGAAAAATGAAAAATGATTGAGTATGAAGTGAAAAATGAAAAAAAATAGAATTATAGAAGGTTGAAAAATAATTGAAATAGGATGAAAAATGAAAAATAGTTAAAATTGGATGAAAATAAAAAAAAATAATTTAAAACTGTGTGGAAAAAAATAAAAAAAATGCACCTGCAAAGGAAGATAAATGAAACAAAGTAAGCGTAGGTTAAGGTTGATCCACATCTTTTCTCCGGGTCTAGAATCTCTCCAGTGGTTTCATTCCTCCTAGAGAACAGTACATTGTAGAGGTTGAAATCCCCGAAAAAGAGGATTTTAAAATGCGCGAATCAGTAGCGTCGGATCCTGGAACCAGGGAAGACCTATACTCATCTTCCTCTCCTTTAATATACTCGTTAATTATCATGTATTTATTTCTAGAAGCAATAGATGTACTTCTATAACATCTTCTCAACCCCTCCTTCTCTCGTACGGGGTTTCCCGCAAAGATTGGGATTTCAAAGACGACTGATGACAGTTCATGGTTCAAAGTTACTAACAGAGTTTTCTGTTTATTTGCAAAATTTTCTGTTTATTAACAGAATTTTTTATTAATAAACAGAGTTTTCTGTGGTTTTTTTTTTACAAAATTTCAGTTTTTTAACAGAATTTTCTGGTTATTACCAGAGTTTTCGTTTTGTTTTCATAAAGATTTTTTTTACCAAAACATTGTCTTCTTTACACCTACCTGTGAGCTCTGTAGTCACACGGTCTCTCCCCTTGACAAGATAACATAATGTTCGGCCACGCTTCTCCAGTAGCACATCTAGAGGGAACGGATTTAGGACGTAGAAGATCATGATTTGCAAGATTACAAGGATAGAACAGGAGATGTCGGACTTATTTTTACACAGGAAACACAATGCCAGCCAGAAATTTATGCAAAGATGTTACAAAATGTCGTTAAAGATTTAAAAATTTGTAACTGTCATTTCTGTTTGTTTCTAAAACATTTGTTAAAAACTCCTATAGACATTTCTAAATTTAAAGAAACAATGGGCGATCATTCAAATGTTTTCTTGTTACCCACCACTGTTTTTAGTTCTATAAATAATAATTTTACTTCTCTTGTCATCCTATCCATGTAATCTGATGTTAAAGGTTAACTTCATACAGGGTGTCCCACGAAACATGACAGTTGATAAATAGTTATGAATGTTGTCTTCCCTATACTGTATTAGATATTAAAAGCTTTTTGCAGTTTATTTCGTTAGAAAAATCTTTTGCTTGAATTGATTTTACTTTGAAATCAGTTTTACTATAACATGACTCCCAAATAATATTTATAATAAATTATGGAAGAAGACATTCTTAGCTATTCACCAAATGTCATGTTTCGTGGGACACCCTGTATATGGGTAAATTTGTTTAACACTGTGACAATTAGAAACACGTTTTTTAAAACAATAACAAAGATTGCAAATAAAGGGCTATTTTGCCAGATTCTAGTCAGTCCTAATATGTCACAGTTGAATATTAACAAATGAACGTTATCCAGGGTTTCTGAGACCTAATTTATGTCATTGAACCAAAGTTCCATGTTCCCCTGGACCGTATATAAGGGAAACCAATATTAATAAATCAGGGGAACCTTGGTTCTTGAACTATATTGGTTGGAACAACGGTTCCTGAATTATATCAAGGGAACCAAAATTGAACCAGGGTTCATGAGTTACATAAATGGGACATATCAGAGGAACCAAGGTTCCCTGAAGGTGACGGGTTCCCTGAAGGTGAAGTGTTCCCTGAAGGTGAAGGGTGCCCTGAAGGTGAAGGGTTCCCTGAAGGTGAAGGGCTCCCTGAAGGTGAAGGGCTCCCTGAAGGTAAAGTGTTCCCTGAAGGTGAAGGGTTCCCTGAAGGTAAAGTGTTCCCTGAAGGTGAAGGGTTCCCTGAAGGTGAAGGGCTCCCTGAAGGTGAAGGGTTCCCTGAAGGTAAAGTGTTCCCTGAAGGTGAAGGGTTCCCTGAAGGTGAAGGGTTCCCTGAAGGTAAAGTGTTCCCTGAAGGTGAAGGGTTCCCTGAAGGTAAAGTGTTCTCTGAAGGTGAAGGGTTCCTTGAAGGTGAAGGGTTCCCTAAAGGTGAAGGGTTCCCTGAAGGTAAAGTGTTCCCTGAAGGTGAAGGGCTCCCTGAAGGTGAAGGGTTCCCTGAAGGTGAAGGGTTCCCTGAAGGTGAAGGGTTTCCTTAAGGTGAAGGGTTCCCTGAAGGTGAAGGGTTCCCTGATTATTTGGAATGAAATCGTTTGTCCATTTAGCTATCACTGTCCCCTCTGTAGCCCATTATAGTCTCGATTCAATGAATGTATGTATGTAACTAAATTTTTAAGGAGAAAACACAATACTTTTTAAGGAGAAAACACAATACTTTTTAAGGAGAAAACATAATAATTTTTAAGGAGAAAACACACTTCTTTTTAAGGAGAAAACACACTACTTTTTAAGGATAAAACACACTACTTTTTAAGGAGAAAACACAATTCTTTTTAAGGAGAAAACATACTACTTTTTAAGGAGAAAACACAATTCTTTTTAAGGAGAAAACACACTACTTTTTAAGGAGAAAACACACTACTTTTTAAGGAGAAAACACACTACTTTTTAAGGAGAAAACACACTACTTTTTAAGGAGAAAACACAATTCTTTTTAAGGAGAAAACACACTACTTTTTAAGGAGAAAACACACTACTTTTTAAGGAGAAAACAATACTTTTTAAGGAGAAAACACACTACTTTTTAAGGAGAAAACACAATACTTTTTAAGGAGAAAACACACTACTTTTTAAGGAGAAAACACCTCTTTACAGATAGACACAAGCTCATTTTTACCCAGCACACCTAATTTTAACATTTACCCATTAATTCCAGGAAGGCCCTGGAGGGGGAGGGAAGAGGACTACTGCCCCCCATGTATACACGCCTGTGTCTATGCGATTTCAAGTGACCCTCTATTTAAAGAGGTACACACCTGATACACTACGGAACGCTTGAGAGCCATTTATGAAGAGCACTTGTGTTTACTACATTGTAAAATTAACCGAATTTATTTTGTTTAAAGACAGAGAAATGACAAGATCATTCCTCAGATGGACCTTTGATGAATCGGACATGAAGTTATTTAAATGTAAGGTCAGATGAAATTGCGGTAACAGTCCCTTTAAATTTTGATTTTACGGAAACCTTATTCAACTCGCCTGAAGAGAAGTAAAAGTCCATTTATAAAGGTTGTGAAATTGTTCCATCTTGATATATCTTCGTTACTTTCCAGAGCAATGTTGCCAAACACCTGGAGTAAACACCTGGAGTAAACTCCTGGAGTGAACAAACACCTGGAAACAAACACCTGGAGTACTGGAGTAAACGCCTGGAGTAAACAAAAACCTGGAGTAAACACCTGGAGTAAAAAACACCTGGTGTAAAAAAACACCTGGTGTAAACAAACACGTGGATTAAAAAAAACCTGGAGTGAACGCCTGGAGTAAACAAACACCTGAAGTTAACACCTGGAGTAAACAAACACCTGGAGTAAACAAACACCTGGAGTAAGCAAACACCTGGAGTAAACAAACACCTGAAGTGAACACCTGGAGTAAACAAACACCTGGAGTAAACACCTGGAGTAAACTCCTGGAGTGAACAAACACCTGGAAACAAACACCTGGAGTACTGGAGTAAACGCCTGGAGTAACAAAAACCTGGAGTAAACACCTTGAGTAAAAAACACCTGGTGTAAAAAATACCTGGTGTAAAAAAACACTTGGTGTAAACAAACACGTGGATTTAAAAAACCTAGAGTGAACGCCTGGAGTAAACAAACACCTGAAGTTAACACCTGGAGTAAACAAACACCTGGAGTAAACAAACACCTGGAGTAAGCAAACACCTGGAGTAAACAAACACCTGAAGTAAACACCTGGAGTAAACAAACACCTGAGTAAACAAACAAATCTTAGATTTGTAAACCAACCCAGGAGCTTTATATTTGAACTCGAGCTATTCTAATCCTTTACCAGATATCCTTAACAGAAAACTTAAAAGCAAACTTAATCCTGACTTTTGATTGGTTGAAGTTTGAAATACCAGAGTTATCATTGGTCGTATCCTTGAACGTTGCCCAGTAAAGAGCGTAATAAGTCCCAACGTAAGTTTGTTTCAATAAATAACTTTTGTTTATCTTTAATGGAACAAGACTTTTATTTCTTTAAACTGACAGTAAAAACTACTGAGGTTAAATACATTTTTAAGGTTCAGGGTTCGGTATAGTAAACATTAATCACTCTAAATAGAATCAAAATACCTTTTATCTGATTTAAACCTCTAAAAGCTGATAAATCATTAAAACTAAGATGGGAGCAGAAAAATCTCAATTTGTCCTCTAAATTTCTAAATATTCATCTTTTTTAAATGAAAAATATTTCTAAAAACATTGTTTAAAGATGAAAAGTTTCATAAATTCTGAACAATAGAAGAGATATAATTGAATATTTTTAATTAATTCTTGGAAAGAAATAGAGAACTACAGAGACGCAATATGTTTCAAACGAATTATTTCGAGAACAAAAACAAAGGGTTTTAAAAAATAAAATAAAAAGTTTGTAAAAATTAAACCCCCAATGCTTAAAAATTGTGAGACCTTCTGACCATTCTGCTTTTTAGTCAGCAGTTAGCTTCTACCAAAGGTTAGGCAGAACGGATTTCTTGTCCGCCCTCCCCCCCAAAAAATTTATTCTTTGAGAAACTTGCCCTTTAAAATTTTATCAATAATATTAATTTGATTCTATTTCAAATATGACTTTTTTAAATTAAAGGGACTGTAAAGGAAAAATGAAAAGGGGTATATGCTGAAAGCTATTTACTTTAGCTCTTGATCGCGACCCGTGAAAGTTAAATCTGATGTTCCTGTCTCGAGAAATAGAAATGAAACTGTGCCAAATTTATACGAAAATTCATATATATGCAGCAGAACTCCCACCAATGAGAGTGCAGTATACTATCACGTGTCTCTGTTTGTATCACATGACCAGTATACTGCACTACCATTGGTGGGAGTTCTGATGACATCATACGTACTTATAAATATTATTATCAATTATATCTATTAAAAATAAAAAATAAAAATTATAGGTAATAATTGGAGAAACCCTAAGTTACAATTAGGTTTCTCTAGGATATCTACGTTTTCAGATTAGTTGCGTATTTGCTGAATATGATTTGTAAGTTTATTCTATATTTCTATTTCTATACTAAATTGTATATTTATGAATTTTTGTATACATTTGACACAGTTTTATATCAATTTCTCGAGAGAGGAACATCAGATATAACTATCATGGGTCGCGATCAAGATTACTTTTCAGCCTATACCCCCTTTCATTATTCCTTTACAGTCCCTTTAAGAACTTTCTTTTTTGATTTTCAAGCTGCGATGGACCCTTTGGAACTTTTAATTGTGAAAAATAAATAAATCATTAAAATGTCTAATTTATAAACTGGAAAATTGTTCATGCAATCCAGAATTTTCTTACTAAGGTAGAAGGAATAGGTTTAGTGTACAGTTAATTGGGACATATTTGGAATACTAGGAATAGTTTTAGTGTACAGTTAATTGGGGCATATTTGGAATACTAGGAATAGGTTTAGTGTACAGTTAATTGGGACATATTTGGAATACTAGGAATAACAAAGATCTATAATTTCACTTAAAAGTGATTAAATAAGTTTCTAATAAACTATGTGCTTTGTAACAACATCAAAATTCAAATATAAATTTGCTTTCATGTCGTTTTGCTATTCCACAGTTCCACTAGTTATTTTCATCTAATATCAGCTGTTTGTTTATTTATCATCTGTGTTATTGTTTATACGCATAAACCAGCCCATACAAATAGTCAAAATATATCACCGTTAAATGTACGGAAATCTTATCCTTCCAACCTTCATCTAACACCTTGCAATATTTTTAAACCTTAACATTAATGTTTAAATTGTTGAAAATGAAACCCTGTCTGCAATGTTACGTGTACACTATATCTAAATTTTTTTTCTTCTTATTTCTAACCTAATAATTTTATAGAGAAGATGCAATTTTTGTTGTAAAATATATAGTCTCCTTGTTTACAAGTGCAGTTGAAAATATTCTATATAAAAAAATCCGCCAAAGTTATTGTTCCACACTCAAAAAGAGAAGGATAACAATTTCTAAAAAAATCACCCTGGAATTTTCGTACAGTGCAGGGTTTCATTTGATAGTTTACTCTTAAAAGGGAGTGTTCGCGAAAAATTAAATAGGAGTCGAATCAAAATTGGATTCGATCGCTACTAATTTTACTTCTACTTGAAGTGTCAATAAGGAGCAAATGGTCTAAAAAGCTTTATGTTAAGAGCGGAGTGAGTCCATGCCGTAACCATAGATTATTCAATTAATTTTTCTTGATCATTGCACTACTAATAATATTTGTAAGAAGTTTTTTAGTTTACTTCTTAGTTCTTAGTATTAGGCGTTTTAAGACATTTCCTCCTTATAAACGTGTTACGCACCTCTGATCCTTCAGTAAAAGTAAATTTAACCTGGCCCCGTCAACCTTGTTGCACCGGCTAGTCATATTGAGTGTCTTCTTTATTTACCCAATGTCCGGGCGATACAGTACAAACTGGGACCGGAAAGGTTGACCCGGCATCGGAAATTCAAATGTACTACGGCTGCCCGTGGTGTACACACTATACATAGAAGTAAAATTAATTTGATTCGGATTCAGCCTAACCCCTTTTTCATTTTTCGCAAACACTGCATTTCAAGAACCCTTACAATATCAGGTTTCGAACTGTCTTTGGGTTCGACCAGTAGACAACAAATCTTGTCATGCATCATTTAATGTACATCACATTCAAACCGTACATGCTGTACATGCGGTACACCTCTCACCGGAATAAAACCTGTAACCCGGCAAAGAAAGTTTGGAAGTTGTTGTGACGATTATAATCCGTATCCGGGTTATACCGTAGTGAACCAAATACCTTTTAGTGATAATAATAATAATAATAATAATAATAATAATAATAATAATAAAAATAAAAATAATTAATAATAACAATAATAATAATGATAATGATAATAATAATAAGATTATTAATCTGAATACCTGCATCCCAATTATAGCGTATATAAAGAAAAGCATGGCAATCAGCAGGATAACATAGGGAAGCGCCTGATGAAAACAAATACATTGATTTTTTTATATTTCTTTTCTTTTACAGTCTATAATCTACAGTCTACAGTCTACAGTCTACATTCTACAATCTACAGTTTACAGTCTACTGCAGTCTACAAAAAAAAACACTGAAAAGTTTGAATCGAAGAAATCTAATAAACAATGGTTTTGTATTTCATACATTAATATCTCAAGTTTCTTACACCTGGAGCTCCTGGAGCAAGGATTAATGATACAAATACAACAATTCTCCGAAAAATAGTAGAATAAATATCTGGAGAATGAAAGAGATAGAAATATAAATTGGTAACAAAATATTTTTTAGAGTTGATGGCAATGGGAGAAATGTCCCAAGTTAGATAATCTATCAGTTTCAGACTGGGAATTGGTAATTTCTGCTTTACATAAGAAGTAGTTAAACTATCCGTAACTATTTCATTAATAGATGATTTAATTCACTCTGAACTAAGCTTGTAGTGGATACTGCAGGGATCTACAGTTCTCTTAACAAAAGAATATAGTGAGTTTTACTATACTAACTTTCTAGAAGATGATTAAAAAGAATTGAGTTTGATATTTCGTACTAGACTATTTGATCTAACAGAACTTTTAAATATAAAAAGTCTACGCTATCGGGTTTTAACGATATAGAGATTAGAAAACCAGAAAAACTCAAGTTCTTGTATTACCAGAAACCACTGGAATAAGTGTAGATGTAATCAATGCAATATGCTTAACTACCTTTAAGAATAAATGAGTTAACCAGCTGTAATTCTAGTTAAGCTATTTCTCACTCATTCATAAATTTTCATCTACGAATTACCTTGAAAGACTGTATAGAGTTTAAAGATTCAGAGTAGGATACGAATAGTGTATCCTTGGCTCATTGTTACCTTTAAGGACTGTATAAAGGTCCAGAGTAGGATACGAATAGTCTATCCTTGTCTCAGGAGTTTAATCAACCGCGCTGCTCGGAACAACCGGAGGAAACCGACATTAAAGAAGTTTTTCTAAAATGTTTAAATCAATTAATCACATCAGCCTCGCTAAAAGTGGTTAAAACTGTATTATCTTCTAAATTCAGTAAATATACATATATCTGTCTAGAAGCCGGCCTGACAAATGAACCGGAGATTACAGGGATAATTCAGTGTAAAAAAAGATATTTTATATCTTTCTCCGTTAATCAAGTAAACTTTGTTCTAATCTAAAGAATTCTTTATTCAGGAATTACAGATAAAATATCTATGAGAGCAGGAACCAGATTTAATGTATAGGAAGACGTAGTTGAACTGCGCAGACGTAGTTCAACCAATTCTCTTGTGCACAAGTTTAAGCTGAAGAGAAGAAGTTGAATTAAGAGTGCGCGGTTCAACCATGTCTCGCATTTTCATTAAAGGAACTGAGTTCTTGCCTCAAACTTAATATTCAAATCCCTATATCTTTACTTTCCGATGGTGTAAAACTTTGATATTTCAAACTTTGACTATTTCATCTTACAGAATTCAGAGTTTGAAAAGGTAAAGGTCTATGACGACGGATTTCAAAAATACAGGGATTAGAATATCAGAGTTTGTTGCAAGGACTCAGTTTCTTTGTCCCAGATTTCGTAGTGAGCAAAAAATAAAATATAAAATTTGTTAAAAGTTTAGAGATGGGAGTTTGGTTCGTTTAAACATGTTTTAAAATTTTTACGAGGTTTCACAAGAACCTGTGATGCTTACCATTTTTATATAATGACACTATGACCCATGAACTGTAGAATATGGAAGACGACAATTTAGCAATCCTCTGTCTTGTATACGTATTTTATTTTTACCATTTAGCATAAAAATCAACTTACTGAGTGTAAAATGAAACTGTGTACATTGCACAATTGCAGTATACATGAATTCCACAGTTTTGTGGGTCTTACTGTATTGTGGAAAAACTGTATCATGAAAAATATTTACCGCAAACTCGACCATTAGTGCATCAACAATACTCCCGACAACGGTGATAAAGTCGAAAGTGTTCCAGGATTGTCGAAAGTAACTCTAGAAATAAAACAATACTATTCTAAAATATATGAATTATGCATAATAACAATAAAGGGACTGTAAGCGTAATTTCAAAATGGCAATGTCCGATACACGATGGTACCATCTACCCTTAAAAGCTTTGTCTGATTAAGCATAAATTATAAATCATAGTTTAAAAAATTATTATTTTCTACTGCGGTGGTTTCTTTACAAAAGTGACTTACACATTTCTATTTAGAAAAGAAGCAGCTATTATCAGAACTTAACACTTGTAAACCTAGAAAAATTTCAATCCCTTCTACAGTAATGATGAGATAAAGGCTTCAAAGGCACTGTTGCAACTCGGGCATTGTCATCTTTGCATGGAGGGTCACTTGATATTATGCTTACAGTCCCTTTAATAAAACTATAGTAAAAGGAGGTGGCAGAGAAGCCAGGAGTTGGAGAGGGAGGGAGGGTGCAGCCCGCATCCGCGCGGAGCTTCCGAGCATTTTTGGATGAGCGCGCTGCCGCTAATCCATTTTGTGACATTATTTCGGGGTAGAAAGCTCTTCGGAGTTGCCTGCCCCCTCCCATCCCCCTTCGAAGGAGTTGACCAATTTTATCTTAATCAGATCTTAAAAAAAGATATTTGCTTTTGCGCACCCACTAAGCTAGGCGAACCAAATTAACTTTTATCGATATTGCACTTCAAACTATTGGACTATGCAGCATATTGCGCAAAATAATGTTTAGAAATATCTTTAAATTAAGCAACAATAGGCAATTAATTTGCTATTTCTAGAATAAAGTTTAATTGTATTGTTTAATATTTGTTTAAAGGATCCAAGTTATTTAAAAAAGGTTTTCGGAGTTAATTTTACTGTTTTTTGTAAATACAAATGTTCAGCATAGCTAGCTGGAAAACATTCTAAGTTTGAAATACGATCCAACTACACAAAATATTTTGACCGGAACGAGAAGACCCAGAAAATTTCGGAAATGATCATAATTTCCTGTTTGCAAAACAAACAATTGTCATGAAAATATTTCAACCCAGTGCAGAGCTGGGATATTTTGATTATTCTTGAACTCTATATCCAGAGGACAAAATTAAACTAATTATTATATCCAACATGACGGCATGATCACATATGAATTAAATTCTGTGGCTGCCCATCTGTGTACCCTCCACAACCACTCCGGTATCGTGCATGAGGACAGCTCCCTGCATGAAAAGACCTCCGCCTAAAGTTTTATCCATGTCAACACAATGTTAGACATAAAAAGCAATGTTATGACATTTTCCGATATTTTTCATGTATTTTAATTGGAAAAACGCATTAAAAATTATCTATGTCTCGATGATTTAAAGAGAAGACGACATTCAAAAGAAATCACTTTTTTGCCTTTATCCACTTTAAAATACATTTAAGAACTATGTGCGCATTTAATAAATGTCAACTTATAATTTTTAATGTTTTAACATTGCTTTTTATGTGTAACATTGTGTTGAAATGGTTAAAACTTTAGAGGGAGGTGTCCCCATGCACTACACCAGTATAGTTGCATGAAATTATTAAAACTGGTTTCAAGATTTTCATGACAATTATTCAGAGTTTTAAAGATTGATGATCAGGATAAAACGTACATCGTCCTGTCATAAAGTGTTCAAATGTTATCTCAAAAATACTTTTTTTAGACATCCTGGATTCATAAAGGATCAGTCAACTCCTCTAATACTCTCAGAATACTGCGACCTTCCTGTTAAAGGGACTGTTATGATAGTTTGGGTAACATAGGAGGTACAAACCCTTGGTGAAAGAATTAAAGTTTATCTAGAAACTTCTTTTAGATAACTGTTACCTCCCTCAGTAACAAAATACCAGAACAATCTCTTTAAGAAACATTTTTCCGTAAGGATATTTTTGTAGATTTTTACAATAAAAATTTTGTTTTTACAATAATATCCGTCTTCACAACATTGTAAACATGCAATCACGATATCTAAGGGTTAAAGATATGGGTATTACATGTACTGTACATGTACTGTACATGTACTGAGAAACTGTAGATTTTCCGCTAGCCTGAAACAACAGTTAACATATAAAAGACTCAACATGAAAATCATAATTTTTAATTTTGACAAAATCTAACAAAACCTTCATGAAATACAAATCGACCAAATTTTGTTAAGAAGTTCCTTTAATAGTAATAAAAATATCTTAAGTTTTTGTTGAGGCATGCAACAAGATAAATTTTCAACTTGTTTAGATATATAGGCTAGCCAGTTACAAATCAAGTTTATCGCAATTATTGCGCATTTTGCACATTTTGCGCATATTGCGAATGAAACCAGGTATTCATGGTTTTTACTTTTCTTTGTCTGCATGCATTCATCAACAACAAATTTCCTTAAATGACACAATTTAAAAGAATTAACTCCATTCATATTGGGGTGAGAAAATTGTATGTTTCCCCTACTTGGCAAATGGCTATGCTGTTGCGCATGTTATATTTTTCATTGCAAACAATATTTCTCAATTAAAATAGTGTAATGCATCCCAAAAGCTCTTGCGCATGTAGGACATATACGATGAAAACTTTCGAGACTTTGAGAGTATCACATTAATAATAATTTCAGGTTTTTAAAATTCTTCCAGCCTAACATATCAAGAATAGTTTTATAGCATCACTGACAGGACATTAATCATGATTTCAGGTTCTTAAAATTTGTCAGCAAACATAATTAAGAACAGTTTATAGCGACACCTAGAGAAACATTTATAAACACAAAATATATGAATTTTCCTCGATCTCCTGTTAATGAATAAATAAAAAAGTGTTTTACATTGAATACAAAGTAACAACATAAAACCATTTAACAGTCAAAACCAATTTGTTACAAATGCGAGAAGTAGGCAATTCAACAAACTGTTTAAATACACAATTCACTGATAGAATATTGTGGTTTGCTATCAATATTTTATATACAGTAATACAGTTTTAGATACTTCTCACATCAAATTAGCTTTTTATCTTGCATTGAGTCAACATGGAGTATAATTACCCTCCAACCAAACGCTGTTAGTTTAAGTGCACACTCGAGGGTGAAGAGAAGGGTGAAAATGATATTCATATAAACTAGAACATCAATCAGGACCAGGGGACTGTTGTGATACTAAAATATAATTAAAAAGTAGAGTACTAGATTTTAAGAGATTTTTAAACTAAATATTTTAGCATCTGTAACAACCCAGTGACGTCCTACCAGGCAACCAACCCAAACGCATGATAGAGAATGACCTATTTAAAGCCAAAATTCCTGCTTCTTTCTGTTTAATCTAAATATCAAAAATACAAAAACAAGATATCGTGATTACAGTTTAGAGTTGTTGCTGTTAGTTAACTCAATTTTTATTCTATGCTTAGCAAGCCCAAAGCTGAAAACCGGTTTTATGGTATGATCTGCTGGCTCAAGCAGCATTGAAAAATAAAAATTGAGAATTTAACAGTTTTGGCAGCTGAGCATGGTACTGTAAACAGTGTACTGTAAACAGTGTACATGTAAATAGTGTACTGTAAACAGTGTACATGTACACAGTGTACACTGCAATCTATTGTCTTACCCGAAATCCAAAAGAAAATATTTTCATAAGACACTCCAGAGTAAAGAGTCCGGTTAGTATCGTATTCATGTAATGCAGGGTGGTTTTGTATGTTTCTGTTTGTTTGTAGTACTGAAATAGACACATGTATAACTTCTAATTGAATACTTTTTAACTGCAAGACTATACCACATGCAAACTATGCATGGCAAAATTGTAAAGATAATCCCAAATTGGTTCAATGAAATTTCATGCTGCATGCAAATCAATCATTCAGTAAAAAGCCATTCAGTAATCCAGGTATTTGCATGTGTCAATCTGCAGATTATTGAGGTCAGATTTAAAAATAAACATCCCAAGTAGTGAAACACTAAACTATGCTGTTTGAAACCTGTTTTAATTCTAGAATACATGTTAAGGCAGTGCATCACTAAACTAGGCTGTTTGAAACCTGTTTAAATTCTAGAATCCGTGTTAAGGCAGTGGAACACTAAACTAGACATGGTTGAAACCTGTTTAAATTCTAGAATCCGTGTTAAGGCAGTGGAACACTAAACTAGGCTGTTTGAAACCTGTTTAAATTCTAGAATACATGTTAAGGCAGTGGAACACTAAACTAGACTGGTTATAACCTGTTTAAATTCTAGAATCCGTGCTAAGGCAGTGGAACACTAAACTAGGCTGTTTGAAACCTGTTTAAATTCTAGAATTCATATTAAGGCAGTGCATCACTAAACTTTCTCAAGCATTTGCTAATTAAATCTAACTTCATCAGTGTTACTTGCTACTTAGACATAGTTTATATAGTGAAGTGCAGAACAGTGCAGTTTCTACTTTAGTATTGGGCTTTGTTAATCTTTTTGTTCTTTTTCATTTCGTTTTATTTTTGGCTTTCAAAAATCTTCTCAGTTCTGGTATGCAGAGTGTAAAATGTTCAATAAAAATAGATTAAAATTTAGAAATTTAGAAAATTATTAAGAGTTGGATTTAATTTTTAAGCAAATTGCGACACAAAACTTTCTATGTAACTGGTGAAGGGTGTGGATAAATTTAAACTTATTAGTGTGTAGATACAAAAAGTCATAAAATACAAAAACTTATCCTTGACCTAATACAGCATCAGCTCAATGCCTACTCGTGTATTAAATAATTAAAAAAATAGAATTATAAAAACAATTCTTGAAAATAAAATTGTAAACAAATTAAAATATCTTTAAAAAAAAATTTCACAATTAACATTTCTAAAGGTGGGTTAGGGGGATGGGGTCAAGGTAAAGGATATGATGGAGTTAAAGTTTTAACAAAATATAAACTAATAATAAATATTAAATTTGAATTTTTCTCAGAAAAAATTGTTAATTATTTTTCTTCACATATTCGAGAAAATAAAAATAAATTTTACATTTATTTTTTTAGGGTCAGAAATTCTACACGACTTCAAAAAATCATTGTCTTAAAAAAATGAAGTATTACTGTTCTATAAGGAAGAAGGAAGCTAGAAAGCGAATCAACTAAGTTACATAAAATTACTTACGTCCTGATTTCAAGTTAAATAGATTAATAGAATAATTATTTTGAATAAAGGAGTGAGTTTAAAAACACTGAGTACAAAAACACAGAAATATTTTTTCCAATGACAGTAGGGATACTGCGCTGGGAGCCGTTGTTTACTATTTAAGAAGTAGTCATACGCTTCTGCAAGTTGCGAATATCTATGACTTAAAGTAGTATTATATTATAAAAATTATAAAAATGCGCAAATTTTTTCACAAAAACTTTGGCAGAGCAGAAAGTTGTTTTATTTAATTGTCCCAATAGACGGCTCAGTGACTTAAGGTTCCGCTGTTGGGGAATCATGGGTCAGTACTCAGTAATGCATTGGACAAAAGGCCCGGAAAAATATGCAATGCATGCTCCCATCGCAATAGCACTAACATTTTTATCCTAAAATTTTGGGAAAAATATACTATTGAATAGTGACAAATTGTACAGCTTATAAATATTGTATAAGATAGTTTCAAAATACTATAATATTAGGGGGTTTTAGAGTTCTGGTCAAAACTTATTATTTCATGCCAAGCACTCATTGCCTATATTGAGAACTAAACAGGGGTGTATATTGTTGCAAATTCCAGGGGGAGGGGAGAGGGATAAATTTAATCATGAAACATTGGTAAGTTTTTGATAAGAAGAATTGTATAGACACGTCAAATAAAGTAAATTGTACATCAGATTGAAATCTCATACGCATTTCTCTGATTCAAGAGCTATGGGGAAGAACAATTTTTTAAAGAATTTTTAACAATTTTTGCTTTTCTAATAGTTGGCGTAAAATAATAACTAGAGAGCTGAAAGTTATGTCTATACACTATACAATGTAAGTGTACACGTGTTAAAAAAAAATTCTTTTGATGTTGAAATCTAATTTAGGAAATGTATTCTTGGGTGTGCGTACGTGTGTGGGGGGTACATATATTTGCAATCAATATCCACCTCTGATATTAAGAAGAATACCAACAAAGAAAGTTTAATATTAATAAAGTAAAAGAGAATAGTAAGATAAGTCTCTACAAACCTACAAAATTAAAACATGACGAAAATAATATGAAGATATCAGAAACAAAGATTATATCATTAAAGAGAGTGTTCGCGAAAAATGAAAGAGAATGGAGCACTTTAAGGGAGTTTTAGGATAAATCAATCTTGAAATAAAAACTATTTTTCTTAAGTTAAAGGGTCTGTACTGTCGAGGTTACTTCAAGTGACAAAATATATTTAAAGAATGGCATGTCGAATTCACAAGAGTACCCGTTAAACCTTTGTCTGACAAAAAATGAATGAGATATTCATCCTTTCTCTTTAAAATTTTGTTATTTTCAATTGTGGATTCTCTATAAAAGTAACTAGCGTATTTCTTGCTACAGAAACAGTTCAAAATTTATTGAACAGTTCTTAAGCTAAAAAAACGTCTAACCCCTGACATTTTTGATAAGAAAAATAGTTACTGGGTCCGTTATAAATCAGACATGGCCTTAGGGTCACTTGAAACGATAATTAGATAAATTAGATAAGGAAAATTAGATAAATAGAATAAAATTATTTATCGTGATGACTCGAAAAAATGCTTTAAAAAACTGGACGAATAGAAAGCGAGACCATAAAGGGAAAATGTTTAATAAAAAAGAAAAAATAATGAACTATTTTCTTTTGTTGAAAAGCATCTAACCATAATCCATTGAAGGCATCAAACCATTATTAAACATTTATTCCCTCTTCTCTAGTTTAACAAAACAACTTTAGACCCTACCTTCATCATAAGAAGCAGTGTATTAAGAACGATGAGTGTCATGATAAAGTATTCGAATGGTGTAGAGACGACTACCCGCCATATTTTATATTTGAAACTGTTTCGTTCCTTCGGCATATATCGTTCCAGAGGTTTAGCATGGATAGCGAAGTCGATACAAGCTTTCTAAATAATTTTTCTAATTAAAATTACAAACAGAAAATAGATAATCTTATTAGAATTAGACACAGGAATTCATTAATCTAGTTAGAATTAGAAACAGGAAATAATTCATCTAATTAGAATTAGAAACAGGAAAAAGTTCATCTAACTAGAATTAGAAATAGGAAATAATTCATCTAATTAGAATTATGAACAGGAAATATTACATGTAATAAAAATTAGAAACAGGAAATAGTACATCAAATTAGAATTAGAAACGGGAAACAATTCATCTAATTATATTAGAAACAGAAAATATTTAAGAAAATTCAAATTTCCTAACACATAGATGTGTTTTTTGTGTGAAATACTCGATTTATCATTTTTAAAAAAAGAGTTTCCTATAGTTTTCATATTCTTAACAACTTATTAGAATTAGAAACAGGTAATAATTAATATAATTAGAATTATAAACAGGTAATAAATAATCTAATTAGAATTAGAAACAGAAAATAATTCATGTAACTAGAATTAGAAACTGGACAGTCAGGCACCAATTTAGGGTGAAAAAGGATAAACTAGTGAGTTGTCTGGTGGAAGAAAGGATAAACTAGTGAGTTGTCTGGTGAAAGAAAGGATAAACTAGTGAGTTGTCTGGTGTAATAAAGGATAAACTAGTGAGTTGTCTGGTGAAAGAAAGGATAAACTAGTGAATTGTCTGGTGTAATAAAGGATAAACTAGTGAGTTGTCTGTTGTAAGAAAGGATAAACTAGTGAGTTGTCTGGTGGAAGAAAGGATAAACTAGTGAATTGTCTGGTGTAAGAAAGGATAAACTAGTGAATTGTCTGGTGGAAGAAAGGATAAACTAGTGAATTGTCTGGTGTAAGAAAGGATAAACTAGTGAATTGTCTGGTGGAAGAAAGGATAAACTAGTGAGTTGTCTGGTGTAAGAAAGGATAAACTAGTGAATTGTCTGGTGGAAGAAAGGATAAACTAGTGAATTGTCTGGTGGAAGAAAGGATAAACTAGTGAATTGTCGTGTACAAGATAAAGGCAAAATCATAAAAATATTCCTCCTTTGGGAATCCAGGTATTTCAAACATTGCAGTAAAAATATGAACCTATTCAGTCTCTATCTTTTACTTATATACCTACCTACCTACCTACCTACCTCTCTATACCTACTTACCTATCTACGTACCTACCTACCTACCTTCCTACCCACCTACCTACCTACACCTACCTACCTACCCACCTGGTTTTTATCTATCTCTCCGTCCTGTAGCTCCGCCTCCCCCTGCTCCTGGAACGTGATGATGATCAGGGCGACAAAGATGTTGACAAAAAAGAAAGGAAAGACGATGAAGAAGACAATGTAGAAGATGGACATCTCGGTCCTGAAGAGTGGATCAGGTCCCTGGTTTTCAAAGGTTGCTCCCATGCTGTGCTGAAGAACCCTGAAAATCAAGATGAGATTATACCACTGTGAACTTACCAGGAGGAGAAGGTCTATGCAACATTACTGATAAAACCTTGTGACCTCTAAGCTCCTTCAGTTTTGATTTTACGTACAATTATGACAAAAAGCAAATATATCTGAGCTGGGAACTTTAGAATGGTGGATATCAGGATTAATGCTTGATCGACCTCTCTTTTTGCTAATCTCGAGATTTGTTGGTTTTCTCTCTCTTTGGATATCCGTACATTGTTTTCTCCAATGAGAGTGCAGGAATATAGTTCGTAAATTGTTTTGACCAATGACAGCCTTTAAAATAAATTCTATCCCGTGAGAGAAATCCGTAATTTCTAAAAAATAAAGAATATGTTGTCGACCATTTTCCAGTGAAGAAAACGAACAAATCTGGCCTAGTTCCTAGAATCAAATTTGTTGATCTAAATATTTAGTCTCGAGATTAGCAAGAAGAGAGGATTAAGCATTAATCTCGATATCCGCCATTCTAAAGTTCCCGGCTCAGGTTACATATTAAACATTCAAAACTTGTTCTTCACAACATCTCTTCAATAAGAAGAGTTCTGATTGAAAACATATTAGATATCAATCTTACGAGCAGTTTACTTCAGTTTGAAGTGACAAGCAATGTCTAATGGTTGTTTTGTACGGAAATACACAATTCAAGGTTATAATGCTAGGAAAGTTAATTGCAGTTGCGTATACTCTGCGTACACATTGAAACCAGTTCTCTCTGGGCGGAATTTGTTAAATTTTGTTAATTTTGATAATTCACATAATAGTTTCCTATGACCAGAATATTTCATTGATTTTTTATGTGAAATATGGATACAATATCAGGCTTCGACATCCGTCTTGTGTTTACATTACCACCCAGAGACAATACAGTGCAGTACAAACGATTATTACACCTCTGAAATAACCTTCCTTGCATTGTAATCTTGCTCAAATCTGTCTTCTATTCAGCAAGGACAAGGAGAAGGAAAAAAGAAAATATTAAAAAATAAAAATTAAATGAAAGAACCCAAAACTATGGAAATGGCGGAGATAACGAGCCTTGAGAAAAAACGCAATATTTTTTTAATATTATACTTTAAGATAAGCAACCAGTTCCTTTCAGGTTTAAAAAGGTTTTCAACTTGTTAGAAAATAATGTCGTAAATCAAAGATTTTCTGATGCGGTTTCAGGGGAACCCGAAAAATTGACGTCAAGGACCGTCCCCTCCCCTCCCTCGCTATAAAAGTATATAAAAATAGATGAAACGTACGCTGGCCATCCTTCAGTAGTTTGTACAGCGAAGAGAGTTAGCATGGCAACCGCGACATTATCATAATGAAACTGCTGCTGTCTCCATTCTCTCTTGTAGACTCGAGGGGGCTCGGAGTCAGAACCAAACTCAAAATATTCACCCTGAAAAAATCAAAATCTATATAAATACTTTGCTTGCTTGTCTGTCTGTGTGTCAGTTTGTATCCAATAAACGTCAAAACAGCTGAACAGATCGGGCCCACATTTTGTGTTGGACCTCACATGACCCCAGTTTTATGAAGTTTTATGAATGATCAAAATTTCAAAAATTTGTTTCAAACAAAATTCGATTTTCATTAATTTAGAAAATCTACAAAATTTTTTGTATGTATACAAATAGAAGATGGGCGCGAAGCGCCCTATAAGTTTAGTTTAAATTTATTTCCAAAGACCACACTAAAAAGTAATCGATTATTTTAAAATATATACCTGACAGTATTTTCTAGTAAGTTTATCAATATCAATCGTTAAAGATATACCTGACAGTGTACTCCAGTATGTCTACTAATATCTGTACAGTTAAAGCGATACCTGACAGTTGTAACATTTAATCCTTTGATATCGTTACAATCCCAGACATAAATCCTAGGGAAATCAAGATCAATCCTTGTCCCTCATCCTTGAGGGTTAATACAAGACTTCACTTTCATTCCCAGTACCAATTCATAATTCACCCAAACCTCTCATCTTGTGTATAATATTTATCTCTCAAGATCTTGAATAAGTGGGTTTATCAATCTACATTTTATTGGTACAAATATATCTGTTAATATCTATTTATATTAAATCATATTCCATAGATCTGTAGAGTCCCTCAGCGGTAAGACAAGTCTCCACTAACTCTTAAATAGTAAGAGTCCCTCAGCGGTAAAGCAAGTCTCCACTAACTCCTATATAGGAGGAGTCCCTCAGCGGTAAGACAAGTCTCCACTAGCTCTTAAATAGTAAGAGTCCCTCAGCGGTAAAGCAAGTCTCCACTAACTCCTATATAGGAGGAGTCCCTCAGCGGTATGATAAGTCTCCACTAGCTCTTATATAGGAAGAGTCCCTCAGTGGTAAAGCGAGTCTCCACTAACTCCTATATAGGAAGAGTCCCTCAG